AGAGGAGAGGAGAGGAGAGGAGAGGAGAGGAGAGGAGAGGAGAGGAGAGGAGAGGAGAGGAGAAAGAAAAATCTGAGGGACCGTGGGCCCCAAATCTAATGCACCACACAGCATGTGCAGTGCTAGCATGGGATGACCAACCCGGTTAGCCCAGTCACATTTTTAGCTTTGGGAAGCAACTAAAGATAAAAGTCAGTGAAGGGCTCAACCGTAGCTGTGAAGGTTGTGGTTGGGGGCTGGAAGGGGAAAACTCACCACTGAAGCCACTGGTGTGTATAGAGGTTGGTGTTCAGGCAGATAGAATGCAGAGCTGTTGTAAAAGAAACCTGGTTCCTGATCCCAGGGTTCCATGCATCCTCAGCCCACCTGCTTGCAGGCTGAAGGGAACGTGGAGAAAACCTAAGTCACAAGCACCAAATGTTATGGTAAAAATAAAACATTGCAGGTCCCCGAGTGGTAGCAATGGGCAGCAGGCACAAGACCATGGCAGGCCATAAAGGCAGCCAGGTCCCAGGCAGGGAGCTAGGCAGCGGGTAAAAGACAGAGACCTTTTAGGCATGCCATGCATAGAAAGTGGGTATTTATTTAGTGGGTTATAGATGGGAGAGGGAGAAAAGCAGAGAGAGAGAGAGAGAGAGAGAGAGAGAGAGAGAGAGAACAGGAGAATTGTCTGTATTGTGTCAAACATGTTTTAAATAAACGCTGATTGGCCAGGCAGGAAGTATAAAAGGGAAAACCAGACAGGAAGTAGAAATGATGCAATGAGAACAGGAGAATTCTGGGAAGGAGGAAGTTGATTCCTCCCACTCCTGCCCAGATCACTGAAGCAGCAGGATGTGATCTGCCCCACTGAAAAAGGTACTGAGCCACATGGCTAACACAGATCAGAATAATGGGTTAATGTAAGTTACAAGAACTAATAAGAAGCCTGACCTAATGGGCCAATCAGCTTTATAACTTATAGAGATCTCTGTGTGATTTTCTTTGGAACCTAAGCAGCTGTAGGAACCAGGCAGGACAGAAAACCCTAACAAACAAGTCTGGCCCGTTCATGTTACAGAGAGAGAAGAGGGGGTAAGGGGAGAAGTGGGGAGAAGGGAGAGAAGCAGAAGCTGCCTCTTCAGGAAAGAGAAGGGAAGGAAGGAACTCAGGCTGAAAGCATTAGGAAAATCTGCTTGCCTCAGTCGATGAAGGAGAAAGTGGGCAGGGCTTGAATCTTAAAGGGACAGGACAGATCATTACAATGAGAGCCTTCATATCTTACCTGTCATGGTAAGCTTGCAGGCATATTGGATAAATGAATGAAAGAATGAACAAAACTGGAGAACAGTGGTTGATGGGTTGCTAAGCAGCCTGATAGAGAAGATTACAAACTAGACTTGATTAATAAAAAAGGTGGCAGAGGGGAAAGAAAGTTCTGAATCAGCAGACCGGGGTTCTGGTCCCAGGATGCCTTGCTTTACTTCACTCACTCTACAAACACAAGTTCATGAACGTGCATTGTTACAAGCTCTGACAAAGTCCCTGCTCCCAAAACACACTGACGGTTGCTAATGGGATCACAAGAGAGATGTGTGGGATGAGATGCCACCATGTTAAGCCCAGGGCAGGTGCTATGCAAGAAGGGACCTCTAAATCAGTCTGTGTTTTCCAGGAAAGCTTCTTAAAGGATGCAAAGTGTTATTTAAAGACTGATTGGGAAAACTCACTGGAGGAAAGGGAGCTATGCCTGTGAGTTATTCTATATCATGAAATATAGAAGGTGGCATTTGAGAGGTGGTGGCCATAGCCAGAGATGAGTCAAGAGAAGTAACCCTAGCTATTTTGCAAAAGTAAAAGTGCCATTGCATCCATATGATCAGAGATTAGACAAAACTGGGTTCAGATCTAAGCTCAGATACACCCTGTCAAGTGGTAATAATCACTGCTTAAAACAACTCTCCAAGCTTAGTTTCCTTAGCACACTGTCTAGTTGATTCTGTAAACGAGTACTGTACTTAAATGTAATGGCTTAAAACAACAGATATTTAATAAGTCTCAGAGTTCTTATGAATCAGGAATCTGGGTCAGCTTAACTGAGGCCTCTGCTTCAGGGTCTCTCACAAGGCTGCACCCAAGTCAGTAAGGGCTGTGGCTCTTGGCAGAATTTGGTTTCTTGCTGCTGGTGGCCAGAGGATGCCCCAAGTTCTTTGCTTTATATTGCCTTCCGAATTCAGTATCTGGCTTCCTCAGAATCAGTGGAGACATCGGTGTTGGCTGGCAAGACAGAAGGGTCACTGAAGTGAATTCTCTCACTATGGCCACATTCTGTTGATTAGAAGGCACAGGCTAGTCCACCATTCTGGGGAAGGGCTTGTACAAAAGAATGAATACTACAAAATTAGCATGTGGGACTCCTTCTTGGAGTTTGTCTCACCAATAATTTGTAGGATAGACCACCAATCAATGTTAACTGCTGTTATACTGAATCAAGAGATCACAGGCCAATGGAGGAATTTGTGGTGGATGAGAGAGTAACTGAAGGTGACCTTGGAGAAGTCTTTGATACATCATTTTGTCCTCAACAAAATGTAAATACTTGATCCCAGAAAAAACAAAGCAGAAAAAAATACGTGCAATTGTAGTTTTGTTTTGTTTTGCTAAGAGCAAATATAATCCCTCTCCAGTTTGGGAAAACAAATTGCTTTGGGGCCTTTTTTGTTGTGTTGATTCTGAGTCTGACAGTCTGTTGTCTTAACATATTTTAGTATTTGACCCCTTGAGTTTTAAAGAATTACTTAGCTGGGATAAACACAAAGAGAAAGCTGTTTTCTGAGAGCCCCTTAAAGTATTTCTAAGCTCGGCCGCCGCCCCCCCCCCCCCGCCCCCCGGGGGGGTGTATCTAAGTTAGGTTTTAAGGGGGCGGGGCAGAGGGGACAGGAGAGAGAGAGAGAGAGAGAGAGAGAGAGAGAGAGAGAGAGAGAGAGGGGAGAGAGAAGACTATGAGAAATTTCAGGCTCCTGATAATAAAATGGTAATAAAATCTCTCCGGGCTCCCGAGGCTTCCCAGAGGGGATGTTTACACCGGGCGCAGCTGCTTTCCAGGCTTCTAGACCTGCGGTGCAGCTCAGGTTACCTATTCTGTGGCCTCCTGCTAGGACAATTCCTATACTTGGAGGCTTCGGGAGGAATACTTAATTGACCCCTCCTGCCTGGCGCCAGGCCACTTCATTCCAGGCTCCAATTCGAGGGGTTCACAGATACAGTGGGATCCACCGTCTGGCCTGGGCAGTTTTCCCCAGGGAAGCAAACAACTGGGGAGGACATTTCAGAGGGTGGCAGAGTCATCCCAGCGCTAGCCAGTGCTTGGATGGAACTTGGGAGTCAGCCTTTCACAAAGACACGCTTCTCAGCAGGAAGTTTGGGAGGGGCGGGGCAGTCACGGGTTAGAGACAAAGCTCCTTTGAATCTTTATCCGAGGGCCTGACCTCTAGCAAGAAGGGTAACCCGGACCCTAGCGAAGGGCGCGAACCCCAGCGTGTAACCCCATCAGCCTCCCTTGCTCTGCCAGTCCAGAGCGCGGAGTTGCTCCAGCCTGCAGCTGCGCGAGCACCAGGGGTCCCGCCAGGGCGTGAAGTCACCTCCTGCAGAGTGGTAACCCATAGTGGAGGATGGGGGAAAGCCTAGGAGCAACGGGCCAGGAACCTCACCTTCCCAGGCCCGCCGCTCCAGCGAACTACCGCAGTCTTAGAAAACCTAATGAGAACCAGATGTAGTGGCAGCTGGCAAACTTTATCAGAGTTGCTGATTGGCCAATGTTCAAGAGTCACAGCCAATCAGTGCGCTGGGCGGGTCCGCAGTGCGGACTAGAGGTCCAGGTTGTAGACTGGCAGGCAGTGCGGGCCGCAGAGAAGCGGTGAGTGAAGGACTGAGCCTGGGAGGAGCGAGCATGTCTCAGGACCCGATTGCCCGGCGACTAGCACCGCCATCGCTACTGTCGCTGCTGATCCTGCTCCTGCTGTCGCGAGTCGGGGCTCTGCGTCCGGATGAGCTCTTCCCTTACGGAGAGTCGTGGGGAGACCAGCTGCTACTAGAGGGCGACGACGAAAGCTCAGCAGCCGTGAAGCTGGCAGTACCCCTACACTTCTACGATGTCCAGTTTAACGACCTCTACGTAAGTTCAGCTCCCGGAGGTGCGCGGCTGGGTGTGAGTCTTGTAGCTTCTTCCCGGGGTGTCCATGAAGTGAAACAATCAGCCTCCATGCTCAGCTGTCGTCCCTCTGGGAACCAGACTCTGCCGTGGTGCTGCAGCTTCGTGACCCCTGCTGTTCATTAATAAGGATAATCTCTCAAGGGGGCGCAAAGACGGCACCCTTCTACTGTGGCATCCAAGGCAGAAAGGCTTCAGGGTAGTTTGCGTTTAGAGCGGTGGGAGGCTGTGCTCAAGGACTCGGCGTTAGTGGAAAGATGGACGGGTTCGAGGGAGGCCGCATCTGCTGGTCGCACTACATTGGAGAGGTGGGGTAGGAGCAGGATCGTCGCCGAAGTTGAGCTGGTTGTCCTGTGTTTCCTAATCAGCTAGGAGAGGGAGGCTTCCTGGCTCCAGTAGAGCTTCTCTCCCAGGGACGGTAAGCGCAAATGACTTGAGAATGTGGCTTTCCTTTGGGTTTGAGCGACCGCCACTATTTTGTTCTTTTAAAAATGTTTATGGGGAGCGAGGTTCACTTGCCACCTCCTGCGTGTGAAGGTTGGAGAACAATCAATTTTCCCCCCCCTTCCAGCATGTGTGTTCAGGTCCTGGAACTCAACTCGTCAGGTTTGGAGGCCAGTGCCCTTACCCGGTGAACCACCTCACCTTCTTCGTGGTCATTTTTGCAGGTGGGCACCAATGGCATCATCTCCACCCAGGACTTCCCCAGGGAGACTCAATATGTAGATGATGATTTTCCTACTGACTTCCCAGCCATCGCCCCCTTCCTGGCTGACATCGACACAAGTAATGGCAGGGGCCGGATCCTGTACCGCGAGGACACCTCCCCTGCCGTGCTGGGTCTGGCGGCCCAGTATGTTCGTACAGGCTTCCCGCTGTCTGCATTCAACTTCACCCCCACCCACGCCTTCCTGGCCACCTGGGAGCACGTGGGCGCTTACGAGGAGGTCAGGCATGGGGCTGCACCCTCGGAAGAGGTAAGTGAGGGGAAGGCCTGCAGTTGAGCAAATTGAAGGGATGGGCTTGGCTTTGAGTGGGAACTAAGGGATTGACTTGGAGTTTCTTCCCCTGCCCATTGAAGCGGATGTAGTCTAGCTTAGACGATTTGGTAGTGAAGTCTGTTGTCTCTGGGCGTGTTCTAAGGGTACAACCATAATGCGACTAAATCGGCAAAGAAAACTGTGAAATGAAGGACTGAGGTACAGATATCGAAGACCTTTGGGACCAAAGTCACTTTACGGTTTATTTCCGGAGTCACCTATAAGCATACAAATTTCTAACGATACGTTCCGTGATGAAAAAATTGGAAAATTCAGGAAATTAAAAAAGAAACAACCACCGTTAAACATTTTTGTAAGTAGATTTCCAGTCTTCCAACCCCACCACCACACCCACCATACCACACCACACCACACCCTGAGGCAGGGTTTTTCTCTGTAGTTCTGGCTGTCTTGGAACTCTTTCTGTAGGTCAAGTTGCTCGAACTCAGAAAATCTGCCTGTCTCTGCCTCCTGAGTGCTGGGATTAAAGGTGAGTGCTACCATCACCTGACTAGATTTCCAACTATTTCTTACAAATATCATTATTGCGATTAACAATAGTGGATTCACATTGCGCATATTGCTGCTTCAGTGCTTTTCCTGTCGAATAGTATATACTCAGTCTCTGTTTTTATGTAACATTTATAATGACTATATAAGAGCTCATCCAGTGCATTTACGACAGTTCCCAGGGTTGGTTCTGTGGTTTTATTATAGTTCTTACTGCGAATCACTTTTTAACTTTTTTATTTATTTTATCCATGTATATATGTCTCTGTTTGCTGGTATCAGTAGGACCAGAAGATAGAAGTTCATGGATTCCCTGAAGCTGGAGTTACAGGCAGCTGTGAGCTGCCTGGCTGACAAGGGTGCAGGCATTTGATTTAGCATCCTGTAAAGGCCACAAGGGCTCTTGAACCACCTCTCCAGCCCCATGTAACTCTTTTTTAAGAGTCAAATCACTGTATAGCCTTAGCTTATCTCCCAGAAAGGTTGTATACTTTTTATAAGTTCTTTATAGCCTTTGCCACATTGCCCTTAACACAACAGTGTGCTTACTTCTGCTCTGCAGGATCCTGTGTTCTGCAGTCTCGCTGGAGAAAGCACCAACAGCTCAGCCTCAGGCTTGGGACTTGGCATCCTATGAACTGGGCCTGGGTGGAGTCAGGGTGGATTGCCTCATTACTGATATACTCCTGTGAAACTCCCCCCTGGGTGTAAAATGGCATAGACCAGGAGCAAAGCCTTGTTTACTTTAACGCCCAGTGTTTCTTGGCTACAGAAATAGAGATGTCTTCCCAAAGAGGTTAAGGGCTTGCCCACTGTCACCACAATGGTGGCTGTGTTTGTTCCATGTTCTTTAAGGAAGAGACCAGTTTCTTAAAGTCCAGCAAAGGTCTAGAAATAAACATCATTTGAAATTATGGTTCCTTAGTTGACAGGTAGCATCTAGTTTTGTTTACTGATTAACCTTGTAATTACATGGGTTTTACATTTTAATTATAATTCAACAGAGTAAATAGAGTTCAAACTAAATACTGTACTTTCTTTGTGCCACTGTGCCCTGGGCCAGCTAAAGGGCTAGAGAAGACAGGCACAACTGTTAGATTTCATCACTCACTCACTCACTCACTCATTCATTCATTATATTATATTTTTTAACATTTACCTAAAATCAGGAATAACAAGCTTATAATAAAAAACAAAATAAACACTTTTAATACAAGTAACTAAGTCATCAAATCTTATACTTCATTACATTTTCTTATAGTATACTGTTTTCTAGATACAGCCCTATAAGATAAGTGCAAGTGTGTTTCTATCACAGATGACAGAAGAGAAAATGATTTCCAGATCTGCCTTAAATGAGGCAAAGGCAAGTTTTTCAACTCTCTGCATTTTCCCTTTCTTATGCTTTTCAAGCAAGACCTGTTTTTTTCTACACAAATCATGTAAAAAGCATAACAGTTATGCTTCTTTTCCAGGGAGAAGTGACCCCTCAGTCTCCATTTTCTAAGCTGTAGAATGAGGTGACAGTACCGACTTTATAGGATTGTCATAAGAATGACTTGAGACGAAGTTTGTTTTTTTTTTTTTAATTTATTTATTTATTATGTATACAGTGTTCTGTCTGTCTGTGTGCTTGCTGGCCAGAAGAGGGCACCAGATCTCATTACAGATGGCTATGAGCCACCATGTGGTTGTGGGAATTGAACTCAGGACCTCTGGAAGAGCAGTCAGTGCTCTTAACCTCTGAGCCATCTCTCCAGCCTGAGGTGAAGTTTTTAAGTAGCCACTATCACTGCTGAAATTTAAGACATGCATGCAGGTGCTCAGTCATGTACTTTCCTACGTTGGCTTGATAAGACCAGGTGCTGGTTCTTTGGTTCCTGCCGTGTAACAGTGCCGTCCTAGAGCTCTATGTAAGGATCTGGTTGTTTTAATTCATTTTATCTTTGTGTGCACATGTATCTGCCTATCTGTCTGTCTGTCTGCCTATCTGTGTATGCATGATATATGTGTCTGGGTGTAATTTGATGTATGTCTGCATGATGTGTGTGTTGTGTTTTTGTATGTGCATGGTGTATATATGATGTATGTGGATATGTATGTGTATGTGATGTATATATACATATATGAGTGCATATGTATGTGTGTATGTATAAATTTGTCTGTATGATATATGTGTCTATATTGTGGGTGTATGATATGTGTGTATGTGCATGATATATGTGTGTATGTGTCCGTATGTATAGTGTTTGTACGTGGTATGTGTATGATGTGTGTATAGTGTCTGTGCATCATACATGTGTGGATGGTGTGTAGATAATGTAGATGGTATTTGTGCTTGTATGATGTGCGTGTATACACTCCAAGGTACACATGCAAAGTTCAGAAAAAGAACCTCCTGTTGCCAGTTCTTCCCTTCCATGTGGGTTCTTGAAATTGAACTTGGATTTTTAGGCAAGGGTTTCACCTGCAGAGCCACCTTCCTCTGGCCCTCCCTTTGTAAGGACTCTGAACTTTGTCCCGATGAAGGGATTACCTCATTTCTAATTTTTTTTTTATCATTTTGGTAAAGTTGGATAGGCATATCCCTTGTGGGAAAGATGGCATCATATTGGCTGATATTTTGCTCTTGCCAAATGGTATTTTTTTTTTTCTGTTAACCTGGTTCTGCCAGTGTTGTATCAACATTGAAAGGCCATATTCTGTATCGGGAAAGGATATGCAGGCTTCTGCGTAGTTTCTGCTAAAGCTTCAGGTTTTCTGTCTCAAAAGGAAACTGGAGACACTGCAGCTAGGCAGCTCTGTCTTGCCTCTCTCTATACTGTTCTTGATTCTGTGGATCCCGGGAAAGTTGAAAGCCAGTGACCCTTTGCCAGTCCATCTGAGAGTTTCCCTTCAGAGCCTTGTTTCTGGTAATGTGAGGGCCTTTCCCTTTGGAAACCAGTCAAAGGGTATCTGTGAGGAAGGCCCTTCAGGACCTGTGAAGTGGCCTCTTAGTGGTTCTTTGTGGAAGTCTATAGCCTGACAAGGGGTCTGTTCATGTGTAGAGTAGTTTCCAAGCAACTCAACTCTTTTGGAATGTACTTTGGGATCATGAATTTTATTAAAAGGAGCTTTGTTGTTTTTCTCTAGTATTTGCCTATTTTAGTGAAGACAAGGAAATTAAACCTTTGAATGCTTGTTGAGAAGGTGACATAGAAAAGACACTGAAGGCATTTTAGTTGACATGGATAAGCAAAGCACTACTTGTACAGATTCCTTACTTAAAAGCCAGCCTCTCCCATGTCAACCAGCCTTCCTTACTTCTCCACAGGGCTTCCTCCCTCCCACTTCAGTTCTCCAAATGTAGACAATCCTTATCTTACACAGTTTCTCTAAATTTAGAACCTGGGTTCTCCCTTATCTTGTGAAGTTGACTGTGGCCACCATACCAGGAACCTCCACCGTTGGTTATTTAAGGATGGGGTTCTCAGCTCCAGCTCCACTCCTTTTATCTCCTGAGTTGAATTTTGTTGTGATGGAAATAAAAGTTATGCAGTGACTGACCCTGAAATGGATTAATTAAAAAATGCTGCCGATCCCCGAGTAGCTGCAGTGGCAGAAACACTGCAGGTCCCCAAGCGGCCGCAGGCAGCAGGCCATGTGGTGGCAGGCAGGGGGCAGAGGTCCCAAAAGCAGCCAGGCCCAGGCAGCAACAGCGTACCAGACCATGCTACAGGTCTCAGGTCTCCGAATGTGGCTGGTCCTGGGCGGCAGCCACGAGACAAGCTGCCTTTTCGAGAAGAAGATGGAAAAGGGAGAGAAACTAAGGCTGCAAGCAGGAAGGAAGATCTGCCTGCCTCAGTGGACGGTGTGTGTGTGGGGGGGGTCTTGTCTCTTAAAGAGAGAACAGATCATTACAGGCCCCACCCTGACTGGTGACATGTGTTAGGCATCTACCTGAGATAGAAATGTGGAGAGATTCTGGGCTTCTGAGGAAGAGTCAAGCTTTGTTCATGAGATGTAGTGGGAGGAACTGAATAAACAAACTTTTTTTTTAAAGCAGGGGAGGCAAACAGACTCTTCCAGTTAGAGAGCACATAGATTTGGTGTTTCACATATTAATATCTGCATTTCTTTGACCAGTCAGCCCAATTTCAGTCTAATCAATAGCAATAGATGTTGGAAAGGTGAAATTAACATTTGAGAAATTCTAAAGTAAGACAGAAAAAAACCACAAAGACACATTCCTTCCCTGTATCCAAATCTGAAGTTCTTCCCTGTGCCCAGTTTTGTCATGTTTAGCAAAATGGCAAGGTAATGGTGCCAATAAGTGATTTTTCTATCATTCATCTTCTTTATAAAGCATATATTAAAAAAAAAACCCTTCCCAGTTTCCCTATTAAATTGTAAATTCTTCTATGAGAGAAGTAGACTGTAGTCTCTAA